AAAAAAAAAGAGCAAGAGAGAGATTTAGGTAATATGCATAATAATGAGAATTTCTTATAGCCTCAGATTTGAAGTCTGACAAACCTTAAAAGCACTACACTAAAAAAATACATATCTAATAAATGATACTACTTTACCTCACTAATCAACTAGTTCATCCTTCAGCAGATCACCCATCATTATTTCAAACCAGGGTTATTAACATTAGCTGAAACTAAAATTTTTAAAAACAATTTTGTTCATTGAAAAATATGATGTGATAAACTTTAAATGAAAATAGTATATAAATAATACTAAATAACACCATTTCAAACCCACACTGCATCACCTTGTCATCTCATCACCTGTGACAGTGAAACAAGCAAAATGATGAAAATACAAGCAATTATATTAGCTATATATAAGATATCATATTACAATATTACAATAATATACTGTGGTAAATAATGTACTATTACAATGAATGGGGACTGCATCTTTAAAGTATGCAGAAACACCACTGAAGTGGCATAGAAGTATCCAAAAAATAGTCCACATGGTTTATGTCTTATGAATAAAAACAACACAAAATCTGAAGTCATGTGAAACATCTTGATTTCTAAACTTGTAATTTTAAGGTTGCCCTCACACAAAGTTATTAAATGGCTTCTGAAATTTTAATCTTGGACAACTATCCCTTTAAATGTAAATACCAGCTATAGTTGCCTTGCTGTCGATCAATAAACCACAGAGTGCACCAATATTAAAATATTAATTAAAAAACCCATCCACTTGAAACGGAAACATCGGAGAATATACAGCAAATAAATAAAAGAAAATTTAACTACTGAAGTGATGCACTTTCATTGCAGTGTTTTGTACTCGAGGCAACAAAGGTACAGAGGTAGAGTGTGAGAAACAGCATAAGAAACAGGAAGAAAAGATGAGAGAAAGTGAGAGAGTGATTGCTTGTAGCATACTGCCGGAAGGACAAAGCCAGCCTAGACTGAATACTAAGCAAAACAGATAGCAGCAGATGCTAGCAGCAGTCTGTTGTCAGGGGAAATGCCTCCCACACGACAACAGAGAAAAGAGCACACCGGCAAACGCAGGCCAAAGGGATCCCCCTGGAGCACAACATCCCAAAGAGGACTGGGCAAAACTGCTCACTTTATAGGCCCTATACAAGACAGACTAGCAGGAGGAAGGAGTTTTATGAAGTAAACCACTGGCTTCAAAATACTAGAGGTGCTGCCAAAATGAGCATTTGGATTTGTTTATTTGAATCTGTCACACACTCAAATGCTAACCATCCGTTTCTGAGGACGGTTCTTACCTTGGCTTTGTTGATAGTGCAGTGCAGGGCATTGTTCTCCTGATCGTACAGAAGGCTGAAGTCCAGAGTGCCGAGCGTAGCTGCAAGGAAACAGACATAAAAAACATCAACAAAACAGTTCATCTCCAGGGCAGACCACAGCACATATGCAACAACAATTAGCAAACTGTTTAAGCCATATTTCGCTCCTCCAGAGACCATCTGATGTCAATTTCACACAATAAAGGCAAAGAGCTTTCTCAATCTGGCAAGCTCTAATTTGAATTTGATTGGCTGGCTGCTATCAGGGTTGCAAACGTTTCTACAAGGTACCGGGCTGCTATGAGCACTTCTGATATGTTGCATCGAAATTTTATATTGTTTAATGTACTTAGTAGCAACTTGATATCAACGAGCAGAACTGTATAAGGGAGAGCAGGGTGATTTGAGTCTGCGGAGAAGTTGAGCCACCCCTTGTTTCTAGACAACCTTAAACAAAATTGGTGATGTGAACACAAATATGTGACGTTTTAAGCATTTTACTCACCCTGTGATGGAGAGAGGCTCATGGAATACTTGGTAATTACATTTTTTTTTTTGCTGTTCAATAATAATAATAATAATAATTAAAATAAATATATAAACAAATAATAAATAAATATTTAAAAAAAATTGTACCAACCAACAAGTTAACAATGATAAGATATGAGACTAATAATACACTATAACTAAGGGAAATATAATCCATTGTAACTTAAGTGGATGCATTGTGTGTTATAAATCATCATACTCTAAAACGCTATAACCACAAATAAGTAAATATTATAATGCATTAAAACTGTTGTTGTGATCATTCATGAGATGATACAACAAACATTTTTTTTTAAATAATACATTATGCATTCATTATAATGATTTAAATTATTTATTATTATTACTATAATGCTCTTATAATGTATTATAAATACGGACTTCATAGAAAGTGTTACCATTATTTCTGCTTGAAAGTACGTCTGTGAAATTGGTTTGGTTGAACAGAAATTCTGATCAGAAAACATTTTCCACTAATTTCAGTGTCAGAACAACTGTTCACACACACACACACACCATTATTTTAATGAACTTCCTCTGTTAGGTTCACCAGTCTATGGTGATACTAAGCATTTCAAATGTACCCCAACCTTTTAAAAAAACAACAACAAAAAAACAACAACAACAGCTGTATTCACCAATTTTAAATCATTTTGATCCAATTTTCCTATTTAAATGGAGCCATTTTCACCAGAATAAGCTGCAAAGTAGATTTGATAGTGAGAGTAAAATGTCCTGTTATGTGAAACAACAAAGGCTGTGACTTGCTGAAATTGTGCGAGATAGAAAAAAAAAAAAGGAGGAGAGAAACTGTGCTTTTCTCCACTATTCTTTGAATATTTGGTCCTTCCCCACTGATGAGTGTCAAGTCAATAGTCCTGTAGAGTGTCACGCCTTTGAAAGTGAACCTCCCTGCTGATTCTGCCACGTATGAATGTGGCCATGAGAAACAGAGTCAAATCTCATATGGACTCCTAGCAGGTGGCCTTCAGCTCCACTCTGCAGAGAGCATCTTGAGTTCAAGGGCATCCATCATTAAACATACTAGAGTAATCAAACAACCTTACCCTTAAACCAATTACCCTCAGCAAGATGACTGAGGAAAAACTCCTCTGGCTTGAATTTTGATCTAATTTGTATAAAATAACATTGACTGAGATTGAGGGATTGAGATTGAGGGTACCATATCACTTTAAGTCACAACGCCCCGTAAAAGTTCTTGCTGTATGAGTTTCAACAGAAAATCATCATACAGGTTTGGAATAACCTGAGGCTGAGTAAATGACGACAGAATTTTCATTTTTAGGTGAAGATGCCTTATGTCCTCCTCCCGTTTGTGTGCGTGTATTCTTATATGACGAGAGGAATCAGCGGGATTAAACCAGGCCTGTGTTTAATTACCTAAACTGGTACCAGCAATGCATGATTTCAATCTCTAATGCAGACAGCATTGCCATCAGTGATGGACTTTTCCCTTCTGCAATTATGATAAATTGTATTATCTTATGCTATTTCACCCATAAAGGCTATGAATAGAGGATGGAGAAAATGATGGACAGAGCAAACACACATGGTGTTGTTCAGTTCACAACACAGCAAAAAAAAAAGAAAGAAAAAGGTTTCGGTTGTGTTCGAAATGCTAAATATGGATTTTGTTCATAGATAGTGTGATAATGAGAGTGACAAATGCATTCGACAGCTTAAGTGACTCTCCTAAATTTTGTCGAGTATATGTAGGAAAACTTGCTCATATGCTTGTGTGATAACATCTCATAAGATTTTCCCAAATTCTGTTATATTTTTTCTAAGATTCTCACGGTAACACTTTAGTATAGGGACCAATTCTCACTATTAACTAGTTGCTTATTAGCATGCCTATTATTAACATATTGGCTGTTTATTAGTACTTATAAAGCACATATTCTACATGACCATATTCTACATCCCTAATACTACCCAATACCTGAACTTAACAACTACTTTACTAACTATTAATAAACAGCAAATTAGGAATTTATTGAGGAAAAAGTAGTAGTTAATGTTTTGTTAATGGCAAGAATTGGACCTTAAAATAAAGTGTGACCATTCTCACAAATTGTTTTGTTAAATTTTTTTAAATTCAGTTTGAATGGTTTAATTAAATTATAATAATCAAAAATGACATAATAAACAGAATAATTTAATAACTTATTAAACTTTAATAATAATAGTTCCTTATGAAAGTAATTTTTCTCGATTCTGTTTTTCATTATTTATTACAAATGTATTATCAAAATCGTAGTAATTAAATGAATTCAAAAAAATTCTAAATTTGATTAAAAAAAATGTAATCAAATGAAATTTGAAACAAAGTGCTGCACAACAAAGGTTTACGGTTTAAATTAAAACATGCATATACTGTTTAAAATAAATGGTGTGATATTCCTTAAAAATTTCTTTAATAAACTGTATTATTATTGTTATTATTACTTTGATAAGGATATTCTACTGTATAACAGCAATATATTTAGCAATATATTTTTGATCAGATATGCAATGAACATCACACATAACTTAAAGGCCAAAACCATCAATGTAAATAGCGCAGTAATCAGTAAATCAATGAACAGTAAAGCAGTAGTTTGCATGATTCCATAAAGGGTTAGTTCACCCAAAAATGAGCCAATCAGATTCAATCCTGTTGTCACGAGCTCGAGAATTTAAAGCGTAAGACGAGCGTGCGCTTAGAATAAACAGACGATATCGTTCGGTGGTGTGGACGCTAATATCGTTATCTTTATAGTTATCGTTCTTGGTGTGAACGGGCCTTTAGCAAGTTTGACCATTTCAGTGGAAACATTATTAGATTATTTGAAATGTTAACTGTTCAAACATTCAATTTAAAAATGCGGACTGAACAAAAGTTGTTTTTAAAGAAACAAACAAAAAACTAAATGAAACAAAACAATGAAATGCAAAAACAAAGGTTTAACAAAACACAAAACAAAACAAAACAGAACAGAACAAAACAAAAAGCTTTAAATAACTATTTGGTCACTTCAATAGAAACATCATTAAATGTTCAAACATTCAATCTAGGAATGGAGATTGAACAGAAAAAGTAATTTTATATATATATATATATATATATATATACAGTGGGTACGGAAAGTATTCAGACCCCCTTAAATTTTTCCCTCTTTGTTATATTGCAGCCATTTGCTAAAATCATTTAAGTTAATTTTTTTACCTCATTAATGTACACACAGCACCCCATATTGACAGAAAAACACAGAATTGTTGACATTTTTGCAGATTTATTAAAAAAGAAAAACTGAAATATCACATGGTCCTAAGTATTCAGAC